ATAACCTCATATACAATTTCATATATAATCATGTATGATTATATATAATTATATATGTGATTCCATATATAATCATATATAATCATATATGATTATATACAATTATATATGATTATATAGAAACATTTTTTCTCGGGTTATTTTAAAAATATTGCATTTTTTATATTTTTCATTTATAAATGTCAATTTTTTTAATAATTTTTTTCTTGTCATAATTTATTGGTTACAAAAATTTTTTAAATTATCATATATCTGCTAAATTAATTTTTTATTAAAAAAAAAAATTATTAATTGATGTTTTTTTTTACTTTTAATTGCAGGTCAAAAACAGCAGGGATTATGGGATGTATTTTGACTGATAAATCAGGACTTTGTCTTGGTGGTAAATTTTTTTTTTTTATTAAATAATAATTACAGTAACAAGTATTCGAAAATTTACTTAAAAAAAGTATTTTAATTATTAACTATGATTTTTTATTTCGTTAGCGAAAGGCAATGTCTCTCCAGACAGCGCAGGAATCATAGCAGCCATTGCTAATCAAGCTTCTAAATTAGAACCTTTAGAAACCCCTGTTATATCTCTCCAAAGTGACTCCAGGTAAATATCTTTCAACTACAAGGTTATAATTATTTCTCTTTTTTAAAAAACTAAAAATTAAGTTAGCATCTTCTTTAGTGTGTGCCAAAATTCAATTTCCGTGAAGAACTTTTTAAAATTGGAATTTTGAGTTCTGCTTTTAAAAAGAGCATTCTGCTTCTAAATTGAGCATTTCCTGAGATATTTTGGGGTCAGATAATTCATTTGATTTTCATAGAATTTTTTAACAGGAGCTTTGTTTGGACATTTCCACTGAAATTTCAAAATTTAGCCGGAAGTGCCCAAATAAAGCTCCTGTTCAAAATTTTATGAAAATCAAATAAATTGTCTCACCCCAAAATATCTCAGAAAATGCCCAAACACAGCTCTTGTTAAAAGCAGAACTCAAAATTCCAATTTTAAAAGGTTCTCCACGGAAATTGAATTTTGGCACACCCTATTCTTCATTGAAATGAAACACTAAATTTTGAATATCTAATGGACTAATTGTTTTTCCATAATTAAAATGATTAATTATTATACTAGTTCTTCATTAATTGGAGCGATATTGAAAAATCATGTTTTGTTTTCAAAAATTTGATTTGATGTTTCATTTTTGTTCAGGTGTAAATCTTGTCTAGACCAATCATATTTTAGATAAATCTATCAAATTAATAACGATATTGAAGTCAGCAGACATCTGAAAATTTTTTTAATTTTTATTGTAAATCAATTATGAAACAAAAATATTTTTTTTAAATTTGACCTTAATTTTTTTTTTTTTTAACTAGATGTAAAATTTTTCAATGAAAATTTTTGCTTAATTTAGTTGATATAAAAATAAAAATTAAGTTAGCTGACATCCAAAAATTTTTAGAATTTTTTTATTCAAAAAATTATTACAAAAAAATAAAGAAAAATTTTCATTTGTAAAAAACTTGAAAAATTATAAGTGTTATTTAAAAAAAAATATTTTTTAATTACAATTAGATAAGTGAAAAAAAAAATCAAAAAATTAAAAACGTCGGCTAACCTTAGTATTATGATATAAAAATTTAAAAAAAATGACAAATATCTGTTAATTTCAGTATCATTATTAATAATTGTTGAGAGTAGGCCATATCGTAAATGTATTTTCAGAAATTTGATTTTTCTAATACTATCTTAAATAAATTTTAAAGTCAAATAAAATTTTCGGATAATAACAAATGACTAGCTATCGCGAAAGCTTTATAATAGTTTATTCAAAAATTAAAAAAAAAAATGATTAGAAAAACAAAATTTCAGAAAACACATTTACTCTGGCCTAGCTTTATATAAGTACAGTTTTTACACCGGTGAAATAATTTTTTTTGATTAATTTTGTAGTTAAATTATATTATCAAATAACTAGTGCCTTATTAGAATTTTTAAAATACAAATAGTATCATCATATGAAATCAAAAGACATTTGATAAATATTATGACTTTTAATAAATTAATTATCGTAACAAAAATTCTTCGTGTAAAAAATGTAAAAAACCATATAGCTAAATTTTAAAATTGCTTTTCAGGGCTAATTTATTCGTTAAATAAAACCAAACATGTTCAAATGTCTACTGATTTCATTCTTCCATTTCACCACTTTTTCAATTATTCAAAATAAATAATATATTTCAGACAATGTTTAATCCACCGTGACGGCCCAGTAATAGGAGCGATATTTAAGAATATTCCTCAATGAAAATCAATGTATGCTCTTGAATTATCAAATTTTACGATGGATTTTTAAAGTTTAATTATCTTTATAATAAAATAAAATTATTTTTATCATTATGACTTACATAAGTATATTTATATATATATTTGTACATAAAATATTCGATTAGATTAACCAATAAATTTTAAGATGCTCAATTAATGTACATTATTCAATAAATCCTCTTTATTTACAAATAACACAATCATTTATTACTTTTATTTTTTTATATACTCTCTTATTAAAATTGATTATAAAATGATACCGAAATTTAAAGATATAATTTTTTACATTTTTATAAAAAATTATTATGAAAAAAAATTAATAAAAAATTCCACAAGTAGAAAATTAAAAGAATCATAAATGCAATTTTTTAAATTCTGTTTTAATTGATGAAAAAAAATTAAAAATTGTCAAAAGTTTGCTGACTTTAGTATCATTATTATAAAATTTATCTGAAAACTAATTACCTATGTTGTGTTTGATCAAATTTGAAATTAGCGCGCTATTACTCAAACCATTCTGCTCTCTAGCGGGTAAATTGCATACCATTTTCAGTAGTGTGCGTTAATTCTCAAATCAATCAGTGTTGCCAATGTCCGGGTAATTACCCATTTTTCGGGTAATTCGATGTTAAATGGGTAAATGACCAAGCAATGGGACTCAGACGGGTAAAGTCGGGTAATGGTTGTTTTATAAAAAGGAGATCCACGCGAAATAGTCAAGTTTTTAAAATTTTCTGAAAATTTTTAAATTTCATCTACATAGTCTAATAATCAATAAAAAAAATTAAAAAACAGTAGATTTCTGGGATATTTAATGAAATAATTAAGTTTGAAAATTGTAATTTTAACATGTAGTTAAATGGAGATTTCACCAGCCGTGTATTTGGTTAAGAATTTAATGCAATTAACGATTTTAAAAAATTTTTCTTTTCATTGAACTTGATAGAAAATTTAATAATAAGCTTTCGATTAAAATAATAAAAAAAGTAGGTTTCCGGACGTTTTACGAAGATA